CATTAGCAAACATCAGTATGTGAAATGGAGGGAAAGTGGTGTGGCTTTTGAGATGAGGGAGGGGCTCTACCAAACAGCCAATCAGAGTTTGCTCTCCACGCGAGTGTTCAATCATGTGAGTAGATTGACTTTCTGCTATAATAGTCGTTGCTGTTGTGTGGCCCATGATAGACTGTCATGCAACTGTAAATCTCTGTGTGTTTGTACCAGAGACGAGATCGGGTTGCTGTTAGAGGCTATTGGGGCGACATCGTCTCCAGTCCATATCTGTCCTTCGGCATAGAGACAGAAAACAAAAATCTGCTGAAGAAACAGAACAACCAACATGTGAAGGTGAATGAACTAGTTCATTACCTCCCAATCAAAATCACAGATGTAAACTGCATTTTCATTTGCATCATGATTTACCCTTCTCTGGCCATCTTTCTCTCTCAGACGGCTCAGGATATTTCAGAAGTGAACGTCCTGGCATTATTTGAATGTCTTTCCACTAGAGGGAGCTCTTTACTGAATGAATATGAACCAAACCCTTCAACTTCCTGCTGTCGATCCACAGACAGTCTCATAACAGAAGAGAAGATACAGAATGATCCACCTGCTTCTCAAACTCACACAGAACCTGAGCAACATCCAGCAGAACAACAGACACAAGTGCTTGGTAACATTGTCTTATGTCAAATAGTTAATATACTAAAAGCCACAAAACAGTTTATAGTTGTAAGTAACAGTTCTCAATATATTTCTGTGTGTTTTTGCAGATTTGCTCAGTGTGGATGGAGTGAAAGTGACATTTCTGTCTCCAGACTCGCTCAGCAAACTTCCTCTCAAAAAGAAATACAGGAACTTGTTTAAAACCATCTACTGTTCAGCCAGGTGAAGCCTGTTCATATGCAGCTTACAGAAACAGTGTCTGGGTTCGTGTCAAAAATATCTGCAGACATACAGAATAACACGATCTCTGTGTGTTTTCTCAGTATGGTTCATCAGCTGGATTCTTCTCTGAGAGAGATCACAGCACCTGATGCTGCTCTGGTAATAGAGTTAGCAAAGTGAGTTCATCATCACACACACAAACACACAAAATTCCTAAACCTTCTAACCCAATGACTTACATTTGTGCTCATGGCACACAGCTTGTAAGCAAATCTCCATTAAATGTTCATGATCTCTGTTTTTCTTGTTCAGCTTCCTGTTGGACCTTTCAAAAGAGCAAGTGTCAGGTTTTGCTGACAAAGTGAAGGAGATTGCTGAAGAATCAGGATTCACAGTAACGCATAACCAAAGCAGTGATGTATATGCAGTATTCACACGGAAACAAAACTGAAGGACTCTGACACTGAGATGTTATACCAACAAACATCATTATAATAAAACCACAAACACTTGTGTGCTTGAACAATTTTAATTAAAAAAAATGACCTGTTGTCTCTTCCTTTTCATTCACATACAAAATGTCAAGGAATGACAGATTGACAGAGTAAGAGAGAAAGTGTAAAGCTCTGCGGTGTACAGATTACAGTGTACAGAAAATCAGAGAAACAGTCAGGCAGATACAGAATACAGTACTGGCCCGGGAGAAAAGAGAGATTGATCGCTGGATGATTCAACATTCATCAGACAGATGAGGTAAAACACTGCCGCTCCAGACTAATATCAGCACTACACAAATGCTTGCATTGCTACTGTTCTCAGTTTCAAGTTAATTATTAGAATAGTGACAATAATAATAATAATAATATAATAACAACAATAATAAAATTCTTCAGTAAGGTTTAAACTCAAACAGTGTAAGCAGTGTTAGGCAGAACAGAAAAATGACAAGAACTTTTTGAAGTATATATATATATATATATA